TAAAAAATAAAGAGTGAATGAAAAGATCGCGACAAAAAAAGAGGACATATTCTCTTTAAAAGAGATACTTTGGCAGCCCTATGTGAGATCCTTTGTGCGTTTATTATTGTACGAGCGCACTCAACAATTGTTCTGTTTTCCCGTTTGCTTTTGCCATTTTGTTGAGGCGTGTATAGAATAAAACTTTCAAAAATTATGTCACGTGATTTAAGAAAAATCAAGAAACATATTGTTTGAATACTATTTTCCGTTGTAAGCATAAATATTTTTTTTTTTATATTCCTGTCAAACATATAGTTTGTTCACTGACATGTCCAAGTCGTTTGTGCCACTTGCGTAAACTAGGTCGCTTTTCAACAAAAAGACACAAACAAATACAGTGTCAAGCACAGAAGAGCTGTGTGAAGCTGCTTAGAACGTCATTTAATTCTTAGGCTCGAATTCATAGTCGCTTCTTAAATCTTAGATCTCGTCTCCAATCTCAAATTTCAGCTCTCAAGTCTCGAATCTCCAACTTTAAATTTGAATGTGAATAGTTTATCTTGTAATTTGATAGTTTGTGGTCATAAAGTGTACTATAACAAGTGTACTATAACAAGAAAGAAAGACATGACATAATTGACAATAATAATATTTTTTCAATCTCCGAAAATTTTGGTGTAGAATTATGTGTATGAAGTTGGCCTCGCACTTTTTGAATTTGGTATTTTTTATTATTGTGCCATATTGTGCTAAGTTTGTGCCGAATTGTGCCGCAAACCGTAGCTCAATACTTTAAACAATTTTTCAGAAAATTACAAAAAACTAAATTTTAGGTAGCCCCGCACTTTTTGAATTTTGAAGTTTTCTTGATTGTGCTGTATTGTGCTAGAGTTGCGCTACTTTGCCGCAAAGCGCAGCTTAATATATTAAGCCATATTTGAGAAAATAAAAAAAAAAACAAACTTTTTCTTAGCCCCGCACTTTGTCGCAATCGAGCTCATTTTTTTTAAACAAACTAATGCAAACTTGTGCCATGTTGTGCCGTTAAGCACTTTTTGTTATATTATTCCGATGAGGTAAAAACACTGATAAAGATTTAAAAAATTAATGCTACATAAATCTTCCATCAGCATTACATATCAGAATAATTTATCATTTTGTATAATATTTCTTAATATTTTATAACTTGTGTTGTAAAATTACTTTTTTTAGAAAAGATAAACTGCCAAACACCTGTAAATAATCGTAAAGTTTTGAATAGCTTTGATTTTAAAAACCTATTAAAACACTAAAACACACCTGGGAGTAAAAAAATGTAATATTTTTGTATTGTTGTTACTTGTGCCAAGTTGTGCTGGACAGATGCAACAACTTTTCTTAGTGACAAATTGTCGTCAGATCGTTAATTTGCGATGTGCACTGAAAACTAAAAACATAGATTTTAGGAATACCAAATTTTACATCTTCGTAACTTTTAAACGGAAAGAGATAATCCAATTCCGCAAATTGTGCCAAGTTGGTTCCGCAAATTGATCAACTTGGTTAGTTCTTCACTGTTGACAGCACAACTTGGCACAATTTGTAGAATTGAATTATCTCTTTCCGTTTAAAAGTTACGAGGATGTAAAATTTGGTATTCCTAAAATCTATGTTTCTAATTTCTAATGCAAGTAAAGAATGACTGCGTTCAGCAGAAATCAGCGCTTACGAGTGCAGTCCAAGACAAAAGAACAACGAAAAGTAAAGAATGACTGCGTATTAGCAATTGCTGTGAGCGCTGATTTCTGCTAAATGCAGTCATTTTTTACTTTTCGTTGTTCTTTTGTCTTGGACTGTACTCGTATAAATTTCAACCAATCAGCGACGACGAGACAAAGACAGAGATCCTAGTTGTGATGCTCTCTATCGCGGACAGCTCGCACAATGGGTGCGTTTAGACAACTTAACGGTTGAGAGATCATCACTTATGATAGGACTATTCTTCAAAATAGTCCTGCTGCGGTTCCAAAAGTATGATCCAATCACAAGTGATTATCTCTCAACCCAATGAGTGCGTTCAGACAACTCAACAGTTGCACAACGGTTGAGAGATAATCACTTATGATTGGATCATACTTTTGGAACCGCAGCAGAACTATTTTGAAGAATAGTCCTATCATAAGTAATGATCTCTCAACCGTTGAGCAGTATTGTTGCGAAGTCGCGTTTTTGTGTATGCGCACTGTACAGCTAATTAGGTTCCCATAAAAGCTGTGTTTTCGCGCATGCGCCTTTAAATGTAGCATTACTGCCGTACTAACGGCCGATTTCTTCATACCTCCCGATAGCTATCCTCTGGATAAATTCCTCTGAGAACCAATAAGGAGAACCAATTTCGGGAGATATCTTCTAGATAAAGTTATCGAAAACTTATCTAGAATTGAAAACATTGGCTGTAACTCCGACATTACTAAGGTTCTGTAAAGACCCAAATAATTTTTCATGATTAACACGTGGAGTGTGTTTTAATACTATTTGTTTAGTTTTTTAATAACATTTAAATAAAAAAATATTAAGAAGATAGGATTTAAAGACAATAGAAATAAATAAACATAGAAATAACACTTAATTTAATATTTTATTTGGCAGAAATCACGAATACCAACATTTGTTGCAAAGATAAGGGAAACTGCCAAAAACCTTACCAGTATTCAAAACAATAAAAATACGTTCTTTTATTTTAACAAAACTGAATATTTAAGTAATGTAATAATATATAACAGAATATAAAGAATATAATATAAAATATAGTAAGTTATAAGAAATTATTATAAATAACTACAAAGAATATTTACGATTATATACATAAACAATTACATTATATTATATTAAATTATATATATAAATCACAAAATCTCTTTTTTTTCGAGGCACGTATCTAAAACAAATAAACTCAGCAACAAAAATAATTAGTAATATTATAATTATAATTATTATAATTATGATTATCCTACGCTCTTTAACCTTCTCAGTTCCTACTGCGAGATCCCGTCAAAACTGTACATGTTGGTGCCCCCTTAGGCTAGTATTACATTTGTCGTACGACAATGATTTTAAGTACATTGATTGGCTATCAAATACAGTTCTTTATAAAACTCTATCTGATAGCCAATCAACATACTTAAAATCTTTGTCGTACGACAAATGTAATATTAGCCTTAGACCATATATACTTATAGACACGGCTTCAGACAACTATCTTAAAGCAAAGATAATATCATCTACATGACGTCACATGTAGGCAAAGCAAAGGCGCGTTTATAGACGGCTTCAGATAACTGCCTTGAAGATAAGATAATATCATCTACGCGTTTAGCCAAACAATTGCTGAAATGCCCACATGTGACGTCACGTAGATGATATTATCTTTGCTTCACCTCGACTCGTAGATTCATATCGTAGAGCTTATACTCATGGAGAGGCCCTGCGACCGCAAGGAGGATCGACAAAGAGATATTTTTCTGTTTCAACTGTGGCCACTTCTTATAGAAGAGAATAACAGAGAACACGGAGTGGGGGAGCCACAGTTGAGACAAAATATATCGAAATATATCTCTCTTTGTCGATCCTCCCGGCGGAGCCCTCTCTATGGTTAGCATATAGGCAGGGCCTCTCCATGAGTATAAGCTCTATGATTCATATCTACAGGCCGTGTCTATAGCTTATGTCACACTACGGATTAGGATTGAGATTGGATTGCAATTTGGCCAATCAGAGCGAAGATCAGTAAACTTAGGATTGATTTTCTTTCTTCTGATTGGTCGAATTTTAATACAATCTCAATCCCAATCCGTAGTGTGGCACAGGCTTATGAGTATATATGGTCTAAGGTCTAAGGGTGCCCCTCATTTACGTGCATATATATGTACAAAGGAGTGCACTATATCGTTCCGCTCCAGGGGAAGTATTTCTTTGAAATGTCTTCTCCGGCTGTCTCTACTACCGCGCGTCGTTTTCCTTCAATCTCGGGCCGCTGGCGGAGATCGAAAGAGTACGGCGCGCGGTAGTAGAAGCAGCCAGAAGAAAAATTTCAGAAAAAAACTTCTCTTGGAGCGGAACGATATGGTGCACTCCTCTGTACATTAGGTCTGTTTTTCTTGTATACACTTTATACACTTTAGTGTAAAGTGTACACTTTAGGGTTTTTCTTGCCGGAAGTGACGTTGAGTTACGTCGTTACACACTGTTCTTCTTGAAAGTGTAGTACACTTTAATGACGTAATTTACACGTTTTGTACACCTCCTTGA